TGAACCCTTGCAAGCCATTCTTGAATTTCTGTAGCCGGCCCCTGAATAACCTGCGAGGGAGTTCCAGACAAGACGACTGTCATATCAGTGCAGCCCTTGCCTGCCTCAATAGTTTTCATTTTTGAGGACGTTTCGAGGCATACATTGGTAGAAGCTAAAGGAAATGGTGAAGCAGGCAGGCTCCCAAATGCTAAAGGTTAAGCTAGCCGATGGCGGTTCACATCCCAATAGACGGCAATAGTATTGCTGTCAATATCGCGCACTGAGGGCATATCTAGCAGCCAGTGCTAGCATGAAGGTGCTAGTCTCGGTAATCAGTGAATGCCGCCATAATCCCACACCCCCTTACGAGCCAGAGACCTCAAACTCTCAGACAACTACCCCTCCCCAAATTTAGCCCCGGCTTCCGCCGCTGTCAAGCTCCCTGGAGCCGCGCTGTCGAAGCAGTTGCCAGGGCCACGACGCGGGTCAAAGTCTCAGCCGGCGGGGGCCACAGTGATGAAGGAGAATGACGGGCTTCTATTAGATTGAGTGTGCTGTAAGTTGGCTTCTCATGGCTCCAACTGCGTTTACCGATGTTTACCGCTTCGGATTTCGCAGACGCTGAATCATGATGTATAGCCTACATGATCAAACCGTGTCCCATGAAAGGGGTAGGGCACAAGACGTCTAGGATCCCACAACCACTTGACTAGGAATGTCTTCTGGTCTTGCCAGGTGTTGTGACAGCTGACAGACTTTTACGCATCAGAGCAAGGGCCTTTGGCTTGGCAGTTAAAGGTTTAGGGTTTGGGGAAGCCTGTCTATCCGGTCTTCTTTGGTGTCAGCGCAACTGCCCCGCTTGTGTCCCGACTTTTGGCATCCGTGAACCGTGCGACTGCGAGTTCAAGCAGAGCACAGTCGAGAACGTCGGCAATGCCCCTGACTGAAGCTACCTAGCATAAGCATAGCGTTGGAGTTTGGTTCCTTGACTTGTTTTGCGTGCCCAACGGGACGCGCTGCCAGAAGCAGCTGGCGGGCCACGAGAAAGCACACGACGTCCTGACTTGCTGATGCCTCTGTTGTTCACTTCTCTTTTGATCGCTTTTTCAGGTGGAGCCTTTGCTGGAAAATATGTTGACAATCTCTGTGCTTGTTTCATACCATGTAAGCACTCGGCATTGCAGGCGTGCTTTTAATTCAGCCACTGTGTGCGCGCTGGACGCCAGTGGATGATTGTTAGTCTGTTACCTAAACCCTAAACCCTAAGCCTTAAACACTAAACCTTATTGCAGACATGTGAGACTTTGCATGGCCCAACCCTGCTTAGCCCTCGTGCTGGCCACATCTGCTTGTCGCAAGTCAGCTGAACAGTTTTCGCCGAAGTCCGGGGAGTCTTTGTTCACTTGCAAGCTTCAAGCGGAACACCGAAGTTGCAGAACTGAAGGCGAAGCAACATCCTGAATGCTGCGCCGAAGCGAAAAACATCTTCCACGTGTGCACGCCGAAAGCCTGACAAACACTGTCGTGACCATGCCAGGTGGCCACTGACACCCAGTCGATCCCCGACCAGAGTGGGGCTTAGAGACTTTTGTGTGGCTTTGTCGATCCGAACTCTAAAATCCTTAAACCCTCATGCCGTTTCTGCCGTTGGATGCGACACTCCATAGAGTGTTGCAGGATCTTGCATTTCACATGCCAAGCGTTACGAAGTGTTGCACCTGCCACAAGCCGTACGACTATGGTAGAACGGTAGAAGGCTCCAGTACATTCCATGGAAGTAGGCTTGCATTTGTCAAGAAATCAACTTTGGTTCTAGGTACCTGTGTTGTTAGTTGAACTGAATTAATCCCACTCCCAGAGCAAAGCCCCAAGTGGAACAGCCAGCTGAGCACCGCATTGATGCAGTTTGCATAGTGGGTAGCTCCAGGTGTGGGAAACATCTCGATGGTCGAGGCCACAGTTGCGGGGTGGCACCGTTGTTGAGCAAAATTGGGTGTTGGTGATGGGGGCCATGACCACCACGACAAGGAGGCGGATGAAGACGAGGTTGTTCTGATGACGACACGTCGGATGATGACGATGAGGATCGCGAAGATTGAAGATTAGGATGCGCATGATGCTGTTGAAAGCGAGGCCGATGATCATGGTTCTCTTGCGAGTAGTCTTTGCTGAGATTTCAGCAAGCCTTTGGCGGTGTGAAGGTTTTAGGCCTTTATGGCTTGAAGGGTCTCTTGTATGAAACTGCTTGCCTTTCATATACCTGGTGCCAGTGTCGAATTCCAGTCGATTGCAAATTGAATCAGGTGGCTACTGCCATGTCGAATCCTCGGGTCAGGCCCCTGGTGTGACGAATGTTTCCTTCAGCAGACCATGCTTCCAGAAGTTCTACAACGCGGTAAATCGCAGCAAACATCAGAGACATCCAGATGCTAAGCTCTTCACAGCACGTTGCGTGAGTCAAGCTGTGTGCGGCAACTTGTTCAGTCCGAGCAGATGTCGGCTGCTACCGCGCTTAATGTGTGTGTGTGTGTGCGCAATGTGGTGAGCGATACCCCCTTTCGTTGTTTCTGTAGACCACACGTCCACTTTAGTTGCTGACAATCAAAGTCTGAAGCGGAGTCAAGTTGTTCCAATCACTTGTGTGGTGAAGTCAGATTAATTGTCAGATGCATGCTGAAGCCGGCTTGAGCTAAACATATTGTGCCACTTTGCTTCATGCTTGCAAGGCCACACGCGCGATGGCCCACTTGGCACATCACCTGCATAGAAGAGCGAGAGCAACAGCCCAAAATTCATGAGCCACAGAATTGGCGACTCCCCGGCGCGAGTCAAGGTCATCTTTGTTGACAGAACACGCTGGACAGCATCCAACGTTCATATTGTCCGATGAGAATCCGAGAAGGTCTCGTTTGAATTCTGCAGGGCTTCTTATTGAGTCGTGGATTGTGGCTTGGACATGACATTCTGCAAAAAATTGAAAACTGCTAGCCCGGCAAGGCGCCGAAAGGGAATTTCCTTCCAACGCAGACATGTCAAGTCAGAAACGCAGGAATTTTTTAGTTAGCAGGCTCTGTTGTAAAGGATTGCAGTTCCAAACTATTGAAACACAAAAAGCATGGCAGCTTTCCACAATATGCTGAGGCATCGCGTGCGGCTTCTGGGGCGTGGACTAGGCCGATCTGCGTTTTGGGGTTGCAACATTTCGAGTATCGTCCTGGCTGCTCCAGGCCTGTGCCCGGTGTCATGCTCAGGACTTCATGTCATGGCAATGTTGGAACGAGTATCTAGACGTTACCACTTCTCACTGGCACAGGTTTCTGCAGCGATGAGTCGCCATAGGGGTGAGCAAGCACCTATGTTTGAAGTCGTCAGATGCTTCTCACCACCACCAAGTGGCAGGAGAGTGGAGTCGATGAATCCTCCCCAAGCTGCTTTCTGTTTCACAACGGCAGTGCACCCGCATACTTTGAACGATAGTCAGCGGGCCCGTCGATCGTGCAGGAGCGGATTCTGGAGTGGCCAGTAAACATAACATGAACCTAACAAATCCCCGGCACTTGTGTCCCTCGTCCGCTCTAGGTGCGACAAGAGCAGGCTTCCGTGAAGTTTCTTTCCAGAAGTTCGACCAGAAACCCTAAACCCTCCGAGCCCAAGCTTCCCCACATAGGATTTTGAAAAGCAACTGATGCCGCGAAGCCGTTCATGGCCCGTGGATTCCGATGACTCTGTTGACACCGACCACCGCAAATGAAGTTGCGACGTGCTGCCCGAAACCCTAGCTCTGAACTCAAAACTTGTTCCATCGAAGCAGAAACTCTGACGTAGGAAGGTTCAGGGTGTGAAAGAACGTCGGTGACCTTAAGGCCGGATGCCCCCCATGCCGTGTGCAATCCTTCACAGTATAGGGGCCTGAATAATTCAAACAGGGCTTTGGGGGGGTTATTATCGTATACTTACAAAGGGACCGTAAGGGAATACTATTAGTAATTCCTCCGACCCCTATATTGCCAGGCATGGGGGCCCTGAAGGATTCCAAAAACCCATCAGGCCCCGCGTTTGGGCCCTGAAGGATTCTAAACAATCCTTCAGGCCCTGCATGAAGGCCCTGAAGGATTCCAAACAATCCTTCAGACCTCGCATGGGGGCCCTGAAGGATTTTCAGGGTGTTCAGGTTCTTAGGCTGTTTGGGGCTTTCAGGGTTCGTGGGCTGTGAGTGTTTGAGGCTTGGGCAACACCCGAAGGGTTGACAAGGCCCGTGGTCGATCCGGCACGCATTTCGCCTCGTTGCGCTAGTCTGAGTTCGTAGACCTCTACGAACCCGCAGGGCTTCTTAGCAGCTGAGTTCTTCAACATGGCAAGCTGGCGCGCAACACCGTGCATCCTAAGTCCACAACCCACAGTAGTCACTGCGCAAGGAAAGCGAAGATCAACGATAAAGAACAGTAAGGTTCAAGGTTCAGGCCAGGCTTGGGTCTGTGTATGATTTCTCATCCCTAAACTTTGAACCGGCCTGCCGAAGTGGGAGGCTGCGTGCTTGCAACACACGAACTAGGTCCAGGCCCACACCCGAAGAGACACACCGATTCGCGCGCCAAGGCTGGAGGTTATGAGACACTCTGAGGCTTTCGAGGGTTTAGGTTCAGGGTACTCCGCATACTGTTGGCCGGCTGGAGGTCCGTCCTAAACTAAATCTACGCGGCTTTGCCTTCAGCGTCACGGGGACCCTGCGCACACTCGGGCTCACGCCTAAAGCCTAAACCCATAGTCCCACATCCGCAAATGCCATGCAGACACTGTGCCTCACAGTTTCGTGGACTGATTTGAGATGTCAATCACTAGGTTCATCTTACTGTTGGTTTTCATTGGAATGGGGGAATAAGGTGCCGTATATCCTATATAATCCAAGTCATGGGGGCACCCACTTTCATTCCTTGAGATGTAGTGAGCTTGACAATAAACTTGTTAGGATTTAGTGTGAGATCTGACGGTGGAGGTGCATCCGCAACGGCCCCTGCGCTATGGGCAAGGGCAAGCGCAAGCGAGAGAAGCGCGAGGTGAGGTCTGAGGCGTGTGATTTCTTGCTTGAGCTCCTCTCTGACGGACCGGATCTTCGCACGGCTATTCTGGACCTCTCCCCCAGCGTCGGTTGGAGAGGAGGTCGCAAGCAGCCGCAGTGCACGTATCGTATCTGCAAGGACTTCCTTGAGTCGTGGGTGGCTGCGGAGAAGGGGGCGTCCAAAGATCTGGAAACCGGCCTGCGAAACAAGGCTGAGGGGTTAGAGTTTGTAAAGAATCTCATGCGCGATGTGCTCTTCGGATCGAAGGATGAGGCCTTGCAGAAGAAATACGCTGAGCTGTGCGAGCCGAAGCTGACGGACGCAGAGCACCGAGAGATGGTGGATCGGATCGCAGCCAGAAAAGCACCTCGAATGATAGTTGGCGCCTTTTGTGATATGAACTTGCAAGCCAGGCGTGCTTTGCCTGGCAAAACTAAATCCTAGTAGTAGAGTAGGTATCCTTTAACCTTGTTGGGGTAATAGAATCCCTTATAATCCCAATGGTTAACCTTGAATTCCCCCACGTTACTGGACAACTAGGTTAAACCTCAACCCTAAACCCTAAACCCTAATCCCTAAACCCTAAACCCTAAACCCTAAACCCTAAACCCTAAACCCTAAACCCTCAAGACCAGGATAAATAGAAATTGTATGTGGTGTCTTTTTGAATGTCCCATGTTATTTGCGTAAGCAGCTGACAAGCCGAGCTTAAGTAAATGAATTCAACACGCCTGCGGGCCAAATGCTCAACTCATTCAAACCTTTGGGTTCCAAGCTATTTGTCTAAACAGCTGACAAGCAGAGCTTAAGTCAATTCATCCAAAGTGGTTCTATCATTCTGAATATGACAGCGCCCCGTCCTAGCCCCAGCAGCCCCCCGGCCCCCAACCCCCCCCACCGCCCAGCCCCCGCCAGCTTTCTGACCCCAGCCCAGCACCCACCCCAGCCCCATCGCAGCCCCCAGCCCCAGCCCTAGCCCCACCCACCCGACCCCAGTCCAAAGCAAAAAACAAAACTTCCAGCCCCCCCACCCGCCAGCCCCACCCCAGCCCCAGCCCCACCCCCAACCCCAGGCCCGAGAGCCCCCCCAGTCCACTTGGCCAAAGCAAAAACAAAAACTTTCGGTCAAAACTTTCGCCCAAAACTTTCGCCCAAAACTTTCGGTCAAAACTTTCGGTCAAAACTTTCGGTCAAAACTCCGGACATGAACCCTATACAATGTCTATAAACCCTAAACCCTAAACCCTAAACCCTAAACCCTAAGCCCTAAACCCTAAACCCTAAACCCTAAACCCCTCAGAAATAGGCAACCCCATCCTGCCTGGCATCACTCAGTAGCCGTAGCCCACATAGCAAGCGTGCACCCTAAGCTGCTGGCAGCCCGAATCTCTCTGAGGACCGCCAGCACGTGGGCAGTTTCCTTGTAACCCTAAACCCTAAACCCTAAACCCAAGACCCTAAACCCTAAACCCTATGGAGTCTAAACCCTAAACCCTAAACCCTAAACCCTAAACCCTAAACCCTAAACCCTAAATTTTAGAGGCTTCGCCCTGATGCGCCAGCGCAGAATATTGGTTAAACGAAAAAATCTCACGGTTGCCTCGTTGAAGACATGAACACAAGAGCTTTTTTGAAACAACTAAAGACATGGAGAGTAAAGAGGTTCAAGGCTTGGCAAATTTGATCACAAAGCTTCGAGATTAGCTTTAAAGGCCTGGCAAAGTTTTTGGTCACGAAGCTTCAAAACTAGCTCCATGCCCTGGCAAGAGTTTTGGTCACAAAGCTTCGAAACTAAGTAGATTGCGCCCTCTTTTTGGGCGAAAGGACCGTATTTAAAAAAATGACTAGCCCCACGAAAGAATAAATATCTCAATTGACTTAAACCACCCGCTTTTGTGCGAGAAGACCGCGTCGCAGTTACATTTCGCAAGAAGTCTTCGATTTACTCAAACCTCTTTGGTCCATATCTTCAATTTACTTAAATCTCCTTGCCGGAAATCCCTATGTTTTTACTCTAGATAAAGGTTTAGAAGGGTTTGGAAGGGTTGGGTTTAGAAGGGTTTAGAAGCGTTTAGAAGGCTTCAATTGGTTTAGAAGAGGGGTGAAGGTTTAGAAGTAAATTGAAGGGTTTAGAAGGATTCGGAAGTAGAAGGGCCAAAAAATGTTTACAAGGTTTAGATAAGGTTCGTTTAAACGGCCTTAAAGCGGTTAGAAGGGTTTCGAAAGTTTCGAAGGATTTTGGAAGAGTTTAAACTTGTTGTTAATCTTACAAGGACTTAGAAGCGTTTGAAAGGGTTTTAGAAGGGTTTCGAAGAACTTCGACGTGTTTCCAAGAATTCCGCAGGGCTTAAAAGGATTTAGAAGGGCTTAGAAGGGCTTACGGCTTGGAAGGGTTTGGAAGGGCTTAGAAGAGTGTAGCAGGCTTTAAACGGGTTAAAAAGGGTTGAAAGGGTTCAGAAGGGTTTAGAAGAGTTTCGAAGGGTTTTAGAAGGGTTGAAAATTGTGCTAAGGGCTTATAAGGGTCTAGAAGGTTGAGAAGGGTTTCAAATGATTTAACAGCGTTAAGCAGGATTTAGAAGGGTTCTACATGGTTTTAGAAGGGCTTTCAAGGGTTGAGAAGGGTTTAAAAAAAAGGCTTTAGAATGGTTTTACAAGGCTTTAGAAGGGTTTTTAGGGTTTACAAGGGTTTAGACTGGTTTAAAGGTTTTAGAAGGGCTTTGGGGTTTCAAATCAAGCTTGGAAATCCAGAGACGGGGAGGCGATGCAAACACAAATGTTTCGAAAGCGCGTTTGGAAAACAAATCTGTTTGAAACGAGCCGGGTTTGGGGTTTAGGGGCCCCGGGTTCAAATCGGGTTTAAAAACCCAGGACTAGCTGGACCTGGAATTCAAATCGAGTTTAGAAATTTGGGGTTTGGCTTCAAGCAACCCGAAATCAAAATCGAGTCTTAAAAACAAGACCTGTCCTGGAGGGCCCAAAAACACAACAAACGAATTTGTTTCCAAGGGGCGCTTTGCACACACATCTGTCGGGAGGTCTGGAAAGGACAAAACGACTCCAAAATCATTCAAATTGCCCATTGGACGGGTTTCCCAAGCTCGGAACTCAAATCGGGTTTAGAAAGTCTGGGGTTCGTGGGGACCGTGTGGGACAACAAAAACTCAAATCGGGTTTAACACAATCTTTGGGTCATCGGGCGGGTTCCTGGGGGAGGGTTCCTGGGGGGAGGGGGGGTGCCACGCCGCGAATTGACCAGGGCGCCGCTGCGCTGGCGAACCCTAAACCCTAAACCCTAAACCCTGATAATATGTTGTCATATTTGCCTCTTCAAGACCGCCTCAGGAGGAGGACGCGGAGAAGACCACGCCTCAGGCCAGGGTGGCTGGGAGCGTTTGATTTCTTTCAGTTTCGACCCCCGATTTGCTTGCCCGGTTGAGCTCAAGCACTAGTGTGGCGAGTTTTCGCAAACAAAGCTGCACATTCTCCGTGCCCCCAGGAAACGACGTTCCGATGCCCCCACTGTTCCGAGGCTGTTCCGCAACGTGAAGTGGTCAAGCTTCTTGGAGCATGTCCGGTCACACCCTGGAGCAGCCAAGCCGAGACGGAGCGACTGCATGCTTGGTATATATGCAGCTGAAGCTTGCGGGTGCATGGAGTCAGATGCGAGCAGCTGAGCAAAGTGAGCGACAGAAAGTACGTCGGGCTCTTGGAACGTGTTGTTTCTGTTCAGGTCCACATGTCAGCATATCCCCCCTTCCTTAAACCCTAAACCCTAAACCCTAAACCCTAAACCCTAAACCCTAAACCCTAAACCCTAAACCCTAAACCCTAAACCCTAAACCCTAAACCCTAAACCCTAAACCCTAAACCCTAAACCCTAAACCCTAAACCCTAAACCCATTACAGGGCCCAAAGGATCCGAACCGGATTGAGGGAGTTTGGAGTTTGGGGGATGAGACCTTCTTTAGAAGGCCTCAGCCTGGACTGAGGGGTTTGGGGGGTGGCCCCCGAAACCCTAAACCCTAAACCCTCAACCCTCAACCCTAAACCCTAAACCCTAAACCGGGGGCTGGGAAGCCGTGGAAAGGGCGGGGAGGGCGAGGGGATCTGCGCATGCATTGGAGCCCTTATAATACTGGATTTCAGGGTAAAAGGGTACGGGGGGGGGTCTAATGGCTGGGGGGCACTGCGTTTCAAGAAACGTCTGGGGCAACTAAAATCCTGTACACTTCGTTGGTACACTATTAATTTTATTACACGCACGAAGTTTGCCATGCTATTGATACTATTCTCTTTTCGTCTTGTCCTCACGCCCATATTGTAAGTACGAGCGAAGGAAGTACATACGAGCACGTGAATGATAAAAAAAGTGAAGCGGGAATCTGTTTGCTAATATTATTAATACCTCCCGGACTTTTATTGAATCTTTTTAGTTAGCCCATAAGAGAGAATTGGGCAAGATTGACAGATGGGATGGATTCCAGGGTCTTTGA